ATATATATCAGCTTCAAATATAATAAGACACTATTATTATGAAATTAATAAAGACTACATTTTTTTCCTTTAGTTGTTGAAAGTAACGATAAGAATCATTTTTCTAATTAAGACCTCATCTACGAAAATATTTGTGAAGTTTTGTGCAGCCTCTTGAGCATAGAGTTTTTTCATATCTATTCATATACAGTATTTTGAACCTTCCCAATTTTTTCACTCCGCTCCTTCGCCTTTTTTGTTTGAAAATATTCGTGTCTATGCTTAACATTTTATTTTGCTTATTTTTAGATCCAACTTTTTTTAATTGGCTTATATTTTCTTTGTTCTGAGAAGAAAACATGTAGTAAATATTATATTATGTGGTTAACTACATGAGATCGACTCTCGTCTCTCAAACATGCTTACTTTGTGGCGAATTCAGAGACTACATTTTCTTTGAATGTGGTTATATAACAAAGTGTTGAACTTCTTTTTTGATTGATTCTTGCTGGCTCCTCCTTAAGATTTTGCAAAAAATTGAATTCAGCTAAGTAAACTCAACGCGATATGCAAACTGATACTTTAAACAACTGCTTTTCAACTATAGATAGAAAGGAACACATGTTTCCATTCAACCTCCACAAGATACACATCTACACTCGGGCTCCAATGATTAGAGAAATCTAACTTGTCCTCCGAAGGCGGATGGCTGGCACCGACCATCCTCACTCACAACTTCTTGCACCTCAGCCAGAGCAACACAACAACTTGATACCTTCTTCACCATTTGGTTTGGTGACTTCCAAGAGGACCTCCTTAAATTGTCTTTCATAGATTCACTTAAGTCACTGGTAGATCAAAAATTGGATAATGATGTGTTTAAGATTATAACATAGAGGAAAGAAGAAAAGTTAATAACTCAATTACACGGTGAGCAGAACACCTAAGTGCAAGTGAAAATAAGGATCTAAATGAAAAGACTTGTACCTTTTTATCCACATTGCAGAAAGAACAAACGATCTTTCTTTTGAAAGATTTGTGTTACGTTTTTGCAACTAAAGCAAATGACCTATCGTATGAGAATAACCGAAGCAAGAAATCACATTAAAAAGAGCATTAATCGACTTAGGTCACTGATATTTGTAAAAATTATCTTTAAAGTTTTTATATAGCTTCTTAGATAAAAAAAATTAATGTCTCAATATTAAATATTATCAGTTGCGATAACATTCCGTTTCTAATTCAACACTATGAGTTTCTTAGGTAATATATTCCTGAATTTGATAAAGACAACCACTCTAATGCAACTTTCTTCGAACGCCGGAGGATCTGACAATATTGGCGTTTTGAGAGATTTTGTTGTTGTTTGAAGTCTCTTTGTAAGCGAACATGTTCAACTACAGTTTTCCAAATGGAAAACGGTTATAAAATTAGAAAAAGATTATGAAAAGTTGTTAGAATCTAGAATTCTTTCATATTTAACTAATTTAGTTCTCCAAATACCTTTTAGAGAAACTTTCAAATATATTTACTCAATTGACCTAAAATTAAAAAATAATAGAAAAACGCTGGAAACTATATATAAAAAGTTGACGACGTTTTGAAGACAATGTGTTTTAAACACCAAAGCTTTGCATTTAGGTCTTCTATAGTACCCTTCCTTTCGAGAGTGCCATCAAAGCTTTGCATCTCTGCAAGGATTCAATTGGTGGGAGAAAAAGTTGAAGATCGAGAAAAAGAGGAAGGTTGCGATGAGTGAAGAGCACTGGTTTTCTGGTTTCACCAATACTAAAAAGACGTTTTGCAGAGCCGAAGAGAAGAAGAAACATTTAGCTCTTTCTCTTTACACTAAACGTTTAAGTTTTGTTTTGCCAAAAGAGTTGTTTTAGGGTTAATGAGAAAAAAAAAATAGAATGCCACGTGTCCACTTGAAACCAACTCTAAAAGTTGCTGATTTGGCTAGAGTAAGGAGCCTTAAATAGGTCCTTTTAGTTAGTAGGATTTTTACATTATTTATATGTATGCTCATTGTTATTAAATATGTAGTCGAACAAGAGGTATAACCATTAGTTTTCACATAGTCTTTTGAATAATAAAAAGAGGAGACATAAGTGTTATGTGGGAGTTAAGTGATTGAATCATGAAAAACAAAAGAGAAGTGTACCTTTTTTTTTATGCATAAACGCCTATAAATGTATAGATATGTATTATGGTACTTACTATTTTATAAAATTACAAGCCAATATTATTCAACGTATTATGAATAGACTCATATTAATTTATGAAATAGAATAATCAATTTACTCTATAAAATAATTAAACTTCAGACTGTAACTTTGGTAAATTCAATAGTAAAACAACAATATCCGAAAAAGTAGGTAGGCTAAACATTTTGAGTAAAAAAATAATTAGGATGTTTTATTAGTTTTTGGTTTGGTTTCAGTTTCGAGGTTTAGTCAAATATATCCCTGGTTCAGATATGTCCTTAGTCTAAAGAAAAATTGGTTGTCGGATACATGAAAAATATATTCATGCAAGTCATTATTCAAAAGTGATTTTATTTTCACATCAGTTATTTTGATCTTGTTTGATTAGAATTAATTTATATGGAATGAACATTCTTAAAAAGACAAAGATTAAATATAATAAGTTTATCGATTAATATTATATGTTAATATTGAACAAATATTTTAAAACGTTAATCCATGTAAAGTTGTAAGAAAATAAAAATATTGAAAGAGCTTTATTTTATTTAAAATTAT